GTCTCCCTGTAACGGGTGTCCGAAATTAACGTCCCGCGACACGGAGGTTCCCTCTCTCACCCGGCTCGGGCTCTGCCAGTTTCAGAGTACGCGTTTGACCGCATCTGTCGGAAATGCGGCTCGGCTGATGATCTTTGCAGTCGGGGAGAGTGCGAGAGAGTCCCGGAGCAAAGTATTCTTTCGACGAGAAATGCAAAAGAGATCGATGAGAAAATTATTAGATACAGGGACGAGCCTATTAGACACAGGAACGAGAAAATTAAGCACGTGTTTAGTGTCGCGGGAAATATTTATCGTGTACGATTGAAAATCGAAACCGGAGCGATGTTTGTTGCGTGTATACACGTGGCAAAGAATTAGCTGAGAAGCCGGTGACATCTCGCAACTGTGGCCCATTGTGCTATCGCAGATCGCCCGGTGGTCGTATCGGCGACACACTTCGCCGAACGCGTGACGAGTACCTACATTATCGCGGCCTGTTGGTATTGTTTCACTTAACTACGAACGAACGCATCAATGTGCGGGGAACATATATCCTCGCGTAACAAACGCTGATTCATAGCAGCTATGGCATAAAAAAAAAAACATGGTATATACTTGCAAAATTGCCTAGAAAAGAGCCAAGCGCAAGTTGATTCTTTCTCTTCCAATGCGATTTATTAATTGCTCAAAGTCGTATTATTTAGACCATCAACAGCAGCTGTCAAATAATATGATTATTTCTCCTATTTGTGAATATTCAATAACAGAGTCTTCTACTTGGTTTTCAATTTTACAATTTTTGATGCACTCGCGATTTATGTAATTAATTGGAGGATCATCTTCGATATTATTTATTTCATGTCTAGTAATATCATTTAGTCGTATATATAATTGTATATTCGATGAAAAATATCGCATAAAATCTCGTAAAATGTTCTTGTTTATATGAGTGGCCAGAAGTTAATCTCAAACATCTTAAGACAAACAGGAAGAAATCGAAAATTTTAGGATCATTATAAAAAATTAGAAATTCGTACTCTCCCGGAAATAGACCTTGCGTCAATCTCTCCTATCGTCACCTATTTTCTTGCAGGTCACGAGAGAAGCGACTTGTACTCTGTCTGTGCGAGGAAGAGGAATCGCAGAAACACGCACGAGAGCCGGGACACACGAAGAGCGCGGAAAAAATTCTATGAACTTGCGGTCGTCCGGAATACAGTGGGCCCCGCGATAATGAATGTGGGAGTTTCACACGGGTCAACGGATCGCTGCCTTTTCTAAGGATACGCGCAAGGTGCACTCTCTTGCGATGAATTCTCTCTCTCTCTCTCTCTCTCTCCCTCTTTGTCTCTTTTCCTCTCTCCTCCTTGTTCCTCTGCCAGAGAGTCAAAGCGTGTATCCTAGCGTGTTTACCCATAATAAACCGCTTGATAACTTATGCATTCCGAACGGACGAGATATTATCTATCTAGCGCTGCCGTAAATAAGATATACACAAACTGGATGCGTATAAATTCGTCGGATAAATGTATCGTCGGTCCTCTCGACGATGATGCCCGCGAAAGGCGTTTGGAAACTTTCCTCGCGCGCGATCTGGATTCGTTCATTCAACTTGGTGCACCGAGACGGAGACGTTCTCTACCGCTTACACGGTGCTTACAGGCTGATATAGTCGTACATATGTGAATTAATTCTGAAAACACGAGTATTAATTAATCCGAGAAATTTCCATCGATATTGAGTTATTCCTGGAAACAATTCATCGCGAGATATGATCGAATCGAAATCGTCGCTCCTGTGAATTTTGTCTGAGAGACTGACATTTTTACGCAAATCGCGTAAAGAAAATGCATTAACCTTCGACCACAAAATACCACGAGCTTAAATTCGCGATGCTGACGTCGCGTGCCGCGCATCCATTGCCCTTTACCCGTGAAAACGCTCGCTACTTTCCGCGCCGCGTACGTTCGATAATCGTGGTAATCGTACCCTTTCTCCCGGGATTAACATCGATTAGGCGCGCAATCGTGATGCCGCATCGGTCGTGACGTTCAAGAAACGGAAAGCCGCCGAAAAATTTAGCACCGTGTTTTTCAACTCGAAGGAGTCTCTGACCTTTCTTCCTCCGCTTAAAAAAAGATCGCAAAAATATCTCATCAAATTATTCGGGTCAAATTGAATTCTAAGCGAGTTAATTTTGCCTGCAGTCGGCCTTCGTCGTCAGTGCTCTTATATTCTGTTTTTATTAGCCTGTTTTTATATATCTAATATATATATTTATCTCTCTCTCTCCCTCTCTCTCTCTTTGCTTACTTATCAATTACATTTGTCGATAAACGATCAAGGTGGGTTTCAGTTGTGACATTAAATGTAAGATTCACAAAGTTAATTGAGAAATAGATAAAAAAAATTGAATTGCTCTCTGGAATCTTTTCCGCCCAAATCCCAGATTGGCCGGTCGAGATATGCCGGGGATACCACGAAACACTGTCCAGGAGCCCCAGAACACTCTGGGCTCGCGGCAGATAATTTTTTGGGGTTGTTAAAAGTCACTTCAGAGACGCCTCCCCGAGGAACGAGCCGAGGACAGGGCGCGTCTGGGGTCTGGGAAGCATTTTCGGCGCCCATCTCTTCCCTCTTCCCCGATCCCCTCGTCCTCGACTCGAAGAAAGTAGGAAAGAGACCGCCTCCGCCCGTTGGAAAATTAAAGGGCGCACCGTATCGCGCGGTCCGTCACTGCAGACCGAAGATGAGAAAGCGACGTCGTATATACATATATATGTATGTACGTAATACACGTAAGATATATATACATATATATACGGATGCGTACGGAACGAGCTGTACCACGTTTCCTTTGAAACTTTGAACTTGCTATCGTGACCACCGCGTCTCTTTGTAGACGGATGAACGTCTCCCGGATCCAGGATAATACGAGACGTTCTTCCCGCCAGCGTCTCTTTTCGTTCCATCTCGTCTCATCTCTTTCTCTTTCTATTTCTCCTCCGCTAGCCTAGTCTCAGGATCGAGATCCTCCGGCGAATAATCCCGGAAAGATCCGCGTCGCGGATATCGATCCCACAAGTAGAATGAGGGGTTTTAGTCGCGGAATAATTAATGTGAGAGAACAGGTACTCCTGTGTGCTCCTCCGCTTTCTCTGTGACTCGACGCTACGTGTTTACGGCGAGTTTCGAGCGACGACGAGCGTGCATCACTCCGTTGCTCTCTACGATTCAGTCCCTGAATCTGCCTGCGACTCGTGCATTTGGCGTCCTTCTTTTTTTACACAGAAATGAAGCGATCATGATGCAAAAGTTGAATTAATTTTGAGAAATTAATTAATTCGAATACTGTAGAAAGCGTTTGAATCTGTCACCATATTTTGCATTCAAATTTTCCAGATTTTTCCCGACTTACAATCTCTTAATAAATGCGAAAAGTATGTCATATTTTAACATTAATTTAATTATCCTGATGGATTATAAATAGTATCAAATATGTCATCATAATATATTAATATAGTTTATATTTTTAAATTTTCTAATCAAGGAAGCTTGGAATAAATTGTATACAGCCTCCATCTATCTGTTTATCTGCCCTCGACAAGTAATAGCGGTTTAACAATTTCCGAAAAGTACTTAGTAAAAGTAACTTGAAACAATTTGTCACGCGCGCGAGACGGGATTCTGCTACAGAAACTCATCGCCGCTACAACGAGTGCGGCAACGATCAGCAACGAAAACTTGGCATCTCGCCAAACAACATTAATACGTTCGGGAATTACCGCGGTAACTTAAACGCTCGGTCAGCATTAATCGCGTCGACATCACGAAGGTTGTCTGCGAGCTTCGTCTTAAATTTTTTTATAAACTTTTCCCTCGTTTGCATTCGTGAGTCCACTAATCAGAGATTGAAAAAAAGATATGGAGCGATATATTCGTGCCAAACACATGCATACAACTTTATAACTTTGACCCCTCTAAAAAAACTTAGATATTTATTTAACATTAAAAAATAAACTGAGTAATAGTGGAAAGAGTTTAAGATTATATCAAATATTTACTTTTCTATTGACAACGAGAGAAATAAATTCGAAATATATCAATTAAATGGGAAAACTGGCAGATAAGAGCCAAGCCAATTTTATTAACAAATGTGCATTTTAAAACTGTACATTTGTTAATAAAATTTAACAACAATAAATTCGCGCACCAATACTAGCGCCTTGGCTTTTATCTGCCAGTTTTCCCACTTTATTGTTAATACTCCGCGCCTATTGCTGTTATTATCGAAATATATCAGCTTGACAATTTTTTTTTCCCAGACACCCTATATACACAAGACGAGTTTTCGCGCGCCGGATACGGAACCGTTAGTTGCCTTGGCGCGCGTCCGTTGAAACGCGCCGGAAAAAATCGTATCCGCCGCGTTCGCGCCGCGACGCGAGGAAAGGGTTGCGTTTTGGAAAAAAAAAAAGCGCGTCTTGCCCCTTCCACTCTCGCCGCGCCGGAGATAACCGCGCGAGAGAAGGCGCCGGGGTCTCTCCCTCTTCGCGGTTATCTTTGCGCGCGAGACAAGGACCCGGCCGATGCCGTTGAGTGAAGTCTCGGCGAAGCGTGAGAGGAGGTGGAAGCGAGAGGAGCGGATCTGGCAGCCAGACGGTAGACGAGAGAAGAGAAAGACGAAAGTGTGCGGGCGTGTTTGCGCGGCTATAGCGAGTGCGAGTGGAAGGGAGGGAGAGAGAGAGAGAGAGTGAAAGAGAGAGATACAGAGACACAGAGAGAGAGACAGCGAGCACGGGAGGGGATGAGAGAGAAAACGGAGGGGTATAGAAAGGGAAGCGAAAGGGGAGGCAGGGAGGGAGCGAGAGACGGCGAGGGGAAAGAGAGAGAGGGAGAGCCTTTACCCCCACCACGGGGGGAGGGGGTGAAAACTACCCCGAGAGCGCGTGGGGTGTCCGGCCTCGGCGCCGAGGCGAACCGAGCGCGTCCGAAGCCGAGCGCAGTGCCCGACACACACCAGGTCCCGCACGGCACACGACTAGAGGCGCGCACAGTCCGGCACAGTCCACTCGGCGATACGACCCATGCTGGACCGTCGTCGCTCCGGTCCACGCCGGCATCAGGCATCCAGCACCCGCGTCGTCACCAGGTCGCATCAACATCAGGCGACGCAACGTCAGGTCCACCCTAGCACGAGAACGCGGTGCTGTTGCAGTACATCGACGTCACTACCGCGATCGCGCGTAGTCCAGGGACCGCGGGTGTACCAGGCCGGCAATTAAAAATAACGAAAACAGAAGACGAAGATAGATAGAAAGAGAGAGAGAGAAAGAGAGAGAGAGAAAGTGTGTGTGAGGACGTCGAAGGATTCGAGGATATCGCTGGACGACGACCGTCTCCGAGATCTCCGGTTCATCGAACTCCCAGCGAAATACATACATATCGCGCCTGCGGGACACTCGCGGCGCGACGCTTTTGGACTTGTTTATATTTACCTTTTTTTTTTTTCTTTTCTTATCCCGGTCTCCAAGGCTACCGTGTCGGCCGGGCTGAAATGTGAGCGAGCGGTTGACGAGAAACAGAGTCAATTCCGACGACGACGTGATTCTCGTCCGCGGGAAATCTGTGTGAGACTGTGAACGCCGTTGATCGCGTTCGAGAGTGTTTTTGCGATCCCGTGTAATAAATTTCGGGCGGATAGATTGCGTCGAGAGAGAGAGAGACTTGCTGTCAATCGCGAAGGGTGCCACCGTCGTCCACGTCGGTCCGCACTGGGTGCGGGCGGATCGTCTCGATCGGGGTTAGCCCCGTCTGTCATATGTCGTTGGTAGACGCGGTGCAGTCGCGGAGTAGCGCGACCGACGAGGAACATGAGGACCGACATTGACAGTTGACAAACAAGTGTCTAGGTGACAAGTGTCGGATAAACGAGGAGAGAGCGGCCGCAGGTAGAAGAACGCGCGCGCGCGCGTGTGTTTTCCAAAGGGAAAAAGGACAGTGTTTTCGATATCCCCGGGAAAAAAAAAATCGGATGGACTTGTTCGCGGCGGGCGAAAACGCGCGGCGGAGGTGAGAGGGAGGAGGGCGGAAGCGTGACGACGGCCAAGATCGGGTCCTTTGTCCCGCTGTTCCTGACACCGACGCGCGCTCTTCGTCGCTTCCTCCTTCCTCATCTCGTCCCCGCGGATGTGATTCAGGAAGACACGACGACTGGCGTCAACAATAACAACAACAGCAACAATCATCCCCCTTTCGACTCCGTCCCGGGGCCCAGGCTCTCGTTGTTGTCCGAGAAACGGTGAAATTCACGCGACGATAGTCGAAGATCGCAAACGCCACCATGAGGATCAAAATGCCCGCGGTCAGGATCGCGCAAGGTGAGTGACGAGAGAGAAAAAGAAAAGCCCGTAGGAATGATTCGCCCGTCGGCCGACACGACCGCGTGTTTTCGCAGGTGTTTACATACCGATGTATACACACATGTAATTTTTCGCCAACAAATACCGACAACACGTGATCGGAATCATCGTCGGTCACTTGGGCGAATAGCTTTGTATTTAACTGACAAGTGTGTCCGTTTCGATCGACGTGTAACGACGGGTATGAGAGTCGCGCGATTAAAGGACACGTCTTCGCGATCATGATTTACCATGTTTATGAATTCGCGCGGTTAAACGAGAAACGACGCGTACAAATTAACGCGTATGTATTTAAAATCGTAAAGCTCTTCGCCTACTTTACGATGTTTCTTAAGCCTTTAAGCCAGGCTGTCGCGCTGCTTTTTACCGCCTATAATGATGCGATTAGATTAGATTTGATAATGTATTCCCGTTATCTCCTCTCTCTCTCTCTCTCTCTCTTTCTTTCTCTCGATGCGATTGCTCTCGAAGCCAAATAATTCGCGAATGTTTACGATAATTAGAATTTAATTGTATTGTCGATAAATGCCTGTAAGAAGAATGAATGGCTTCTCAGCAACGTTAGTTAACTTTGCGTAATTGTTTGCCTTTCTCTATAATTGAAATTTAAAAGAGACAAAGAATCAGAAGAACTAGAGTTGGTCGAATCACTTGCAGTTATAATATCTGTCTATCGGAAAACAACGGTTTCAGGATGAAAAACACGCACGAGACGAGCTTACCGTCAAATTCTAATCGCGAATATAAAAAATATAAATATTTGTTTTGCCTCAAAACTACTTATATTTGAGAAATACATCACGATTAAGTATTTATATTTATTATCTTGGACAAAAATGGTAAAGAGAAGAATGTTTTGGACAAAGTCACCCGATATTTCATACATTTCTTGACTTCTTTAAATATTTACTTTATATATTATAAAAACAACGTTGATTAATGGAAGCGTAATTACTTGCAGATTCAATCGATCTGTCGTCGTAGCTCGATTTCAAGTTTTCCTCGGATCAAAAGCAATCTCTCTTTCTCTCTCTCTCTCTCTCTCTCTCCCTCGGTTGTTAACCGCCGTCGACAAATCCGTACCATTTGTAACGAGAAACTCTCATCGGCGGCCCGCAAATCCTTCCGTGATCGGATCGTCGTAAATCGTTTTCAATCGAGTCACGCGAGTCCGGTACGCTCCACTTCGATCCTAATCATTTTATACATCCATTTCGATTCCATTGACGTTGCGCGTCATCGCGGTCTACGTTTGCGCGAGAAACAAAACGAATAGAAAGAAGAACGAATTTGAAAATCAATCTTACTTGCAATTAATTCCCTGACGCTTTCCCGAAAGAAAATAATCGAATGCGGCAGTCATAATACAAGTTTTCCGCATCGAGTCGGTATTCCGGTCACGATCCGGTAATTAACTCGGCAAACTAGCGTCTCGATGAAGAGGGCAACCTGTCGATGAGGTAAACGCGCGGTCGCGCCTCGTGGCGTGGCGCGACGAAAAAAAGAAAAAAGTGAAAAGGATCGGCAGTCGCGTGGCCGACGACGGGAAGGGAAGGTAAAAAAGCTACGAAAGACGGCGAGAAAGTTAAGCGAGAGAGAAAGAAAGACGGGATGGGGTACAGAGAGAAAGAGAAAGTGTGCGCGAGCGAGTGAATGAACTAGAAGGGAGAGAGAGAGAGAGAGAGAGAGAAGGAGAGGTCGAACGAGAGCGAAAGAGGGAAAAGAGGGATGGAAGGCCAACGTCTTCGGGTAACTCGTCGTCGGCTGAATTTTTAATTAGTCCGCGACAGCCCCCACCAAGCGAAGAGAGTGGAGGCGGTGAAGGAGAAGAGAGGGCATGAGAGAGAGAAAGAGAGAAAAAGAACGAGAGAGGAGAAGGAGGAGAAGATGGAGGGCGCGGGGTGAGCTTAGGAAGGGCGGCATTGTCATGCGCGCGTTTTTCAGAAACTTTTCCACCCCCGCGACTGCTACCCCCCCGTCGGTAACCATCCGCCCCCGCGACGCCCCCGCGAGGCACCCCCTCGCCCCCACGGAGCGGCGGCGACGGCGACGGCGGCGGCGGCGGCGGCTCCGTTTTCTTAATTACAACTGCGATATTCTTTAGTTCGCGCGATGACGCCGCCGCGAAAACATACCGGAATATTTTCTCGGCCACCGATTATCCCCTCGCACCCCTCGCGATTACCCCCATCGGTTGACTCGCGTCACGGGGATCGTAAGATCGATGGGCAAATTCGATCCGCGAATGCGCCGGGTCGTGACTCGTAAGACGAAGGAGACCGATGATAGCGCGCGACCGGAATCGATCGGTCGTGATTAGGAACAAGAAGACGATAATATTACTGATTCGCGAGTTTGCGTATCTACCACCTTGAGGAGGCGAAATCAATGAGAGACAGTGTCAGTGTCGGCGGATGGTGTGTGTGTTTGTGTACGTGTACGGTCCCCTTAAATATAATCAATAGTCGTTTTTATAATGACCGGAAAAAGATCTCCGAGATTAATTTCTCTCTCTCGTGGAAGCGACCTCTCCGAGAGACGATATCGAGAAAAAAGATTTTCCTTCCGCGGTAATGATAAAAGTCGGTATTTATCTCTCGACCAATTAATTGACGACTGACGACTTTGTTTCATCAAATAATATCCATCGCTTGACGAATCAACGATGACATCTTTATACGTCAAGGTGAGTTCTCGTCGGCGTTGAGTGACATCGTGATTCTTTGAGATGATTCCCGCGACGGGGGAATCAATCGAGTTAGAAAAAATTTCCGCAATGTCCAGAGATTCGACGCGGCAAATTTCGCAGCCTCAAGCCTTTCGAGGCTTCAAATTCGTGTTTGCAAACTCGGGATTATCCTCGAGGCGATGTTTGCGTCACTCGATTACCCGCCCCTATCCCTTTTACGTACGTATACCATGGACAGACAGCGGTAAATAGATCTCGCGCACTTACTTATCGAATATATCTTATCGTAAGATCGCGTGCTCGTCCGTAACGACTATGCAAAACGGACAAGTGTTTACGAGTTATCTGGTCATCCGACAATCGCGAATATATTCTCTCGCAAAGTCGACGTCAACCGTCGCGAGTAATGTCGGCGATTATTATTGAAAGAGCATTAACTAAATAGATCATTAATGTATCATAAAAAATTAATTTTTCGCTCGCTATAATTTAAATGTTATAAAAAGATTCTTCTTAAAAAGATTTTCAAATATACTGAATCTCCTGAAATTTATTTATATATTGGACTAATTGATTTTATTTTTTATTTGTGATTTAAATTCAGGGCGTTTAATTCGAAGGCATTTTCGTTTATGCTTTATTACTATCAAAAAATTTGAATAATATTTAAATGTTATGTATGCCATATACGGCAATAACATGCGAGCTTTTTTATATCATGCATTCGTATTCGTGATGATGATTTCTTAAACATTAACAGAAAACGATATCCTTTCGACGTATTTTTGGATACAAAATTGTATATATGACATCATACAAGAAAATTGGAAGAAAATCTGATCTTTTCTATTTATCATGCATCTTTTGCAAATTTTAAATTACAAAATACATGACTGCGAGACATGTCTAATGCTGTAAATCATGCGCCATTTGCGTTTTGTTTCTATCCACGTGCGATAACCACATAATGTCCTAGTCAATGGAGTCGCCGCAGGTATTCCGCATAATCCGAATCGCAATAACGCGATAACCCTTCAAGTGTTAATCTTTAAAGACCGAATAATCTGTTAACTAGTTAACTGACCGGCCCGCATAGTCATTAATCGCCGGAAGGTCCTTAAACTGACCACGCGTTTTCTTTAATTGTTGCATTTGCGGTTTGCTATGAATTAACGTAACAAAGATATATACATATGTGTGCTTTGTTTCGCAGATAAATTAAACGCGAAAACAAAATTATTCACGCCAGAAAATCATTTTTACCATAATTACGTTAAGGAAAAATCAAATGACAATTGTTTAGATTCCAACTGCCATCTTTCTCCCACAAATGTCAATCATTATTTTACAGGTGCCATCGCAATTTAAAAAACGTAATGTAAGGAAATTTGACGTTACGTATAGCAAACACCGAGCTTGGGTCGGTAAAGATCATTCTTTTCTTAACGTAATCATGATATAAATGATTTCCTCGCTTGAATAACTTTATGTTCTCGCATTCAGTTTATCCGTGAAAGAAAGCACGCGGATATATCTTTGTTACGTTAATTCGAAGCAAGGTCTTCTTTTTCTGAGCGCTTGATGAAACGCCGCGCGGCGGAGGTTAATGAGCTCGCGATTACGCCCGCCGAGAGGGGTTTCTTGCGCGCCCTATATCCAGTCCCAGAGATACTCACGAGGATGTTATTTAGCAAACAGAGAGCGCTGAAGCTTTGCCCCCCGCCGGCACGTGCGCGACATATGCGCCTTTTGCGCGTACGCGCTGGATATTGTCTTTGATGCGACCCGTCGGAAGCGGCCCTTCTTCCTCTCTTCCTCCCGCCCCTCTTTCGAATCCGTCTCTCTCTCTCTCTCTCTCTCTCTCCGAGACGTCTCCGAGGAGACTCCTCGGCTAAAAAAGCCGCTTTGATTTGATTTCCTAGATTAACGTTTAGGGCGCCGGGCGCGGCGCGTGGCCGAACCCTTTCCTCCTCCTCGCGATCCCTCTTCTCACCCGTCCCTTTCTCTCCCTCCCCGCGCCGTGTCGGAATCCCCAGCCACGCGACCAGGTAAGAGGAAGGAACTCTAGATTCTCCAAACAAAAAAGCTCGCAAGCGTGTGCGATGTGGATGGGTGTAATATTAATTGCAACGGCGGTAAAAGAGATACACTTTGGGTTGATTTCGGGTCAGCGTGATTGAATCCGGTGTAGTATTTATGATCGCATTATCAATATTTGCACGAGGATTTTAATATTATAAGTTAATCGAAATTGAGGTTTTTGTAATGG